AGTTTTAGTATAAATTAGTATCTGATATTCTCTACGAGGTAATTTTGGCTACTCACTACAGCGTAGTACTCTCATTGGACCATGTAATGGAATACACCAATACAAAATACATTTTAAAAGTCCTATATTACGCAAAATTGACTCTTGAGAGGTTTAAAACAGTGTTTCCCAAACTTTTTTTCTGGGGACCCATATTTTAAGTCACAAACGTTCGCAAAGTCAATAGACATTATTTGTAAATAGCAAAATAAAGGTGGATTTGACCATTATTGAACATTAATTAGGAAATTTTATTGAGTGATCGTGTATCTGAACAATTAGTATGACTCAAGTTTTAAACAATGAAAAACAGTAACTGAACCAGCAATAAAAGGATCCATAAGGGCCTGTTTACACGAGAACGCTTGTAGGTAAAAACAACAAAATATTTGATCAGAAATGCCTTTCGTTCAGACGATGATGGTGTTTTTGGGGCTTAAAAACGCAAAAATCTGAAACCACCCTCCAGAGTGGAAAAGTTGAATACACTCCGCCGTAGCGTTTCCGTCTACACTGCCCAAGACGCAAAACTCTGGTCAGATCTGCTCATGTCACGTACACGTTTACGTCACATACATACAGTACACAGATTTCCTCCAGAAAACGTTCGTCTAAACATAGAAAGTGAAGATGCAAAGCCACTTTTGCGTCTTCTGTCATCATATAAACAAAGCCTAAGTCGCCTATTTGGACTTTAAATGAAGCCCATTTCTTTTTCTTTTCGACATTCAACTGAACCACCAATATTGGAACAAAATAGTCAATTAAATTATTATAAAAAGATTAGAAATTATACAAAACATTTCAACATTTCTAATGAGATAGGTGGGCCTGTCTGCGTTTTTGTAGCTCGTTCCTGTTTGAGCTGTAGGAGAAAAGCACAACTCGCATATTTCAGACGTACATGCAGATCGTGACAAGGCGACCCAAAAAAAATCTCTTATGGCCCACCTGGGGAACGCGGCCCAGTCTTTGGGAAAAAATTATTTAAGACATGTTACAATATATTTTTGTATTGAGTTGTTTTGTTTCATTCACACATGTTTGAGTAACGCTTTATTTCTGTCTACATCTCCAAAAATCAAAACGCTCTCTTCCACCTTGTGATATCATGAAGCGGTCCAAGTTAACAGCTCCTTTTACCTTTAGTTCAGTAGAAATTGGCAATTCCAGGACTGAAATTGGCATCACCCGTGGTTCTGTGTACAGGACCTACCGAGGGATTACAACTGGTGGATTTTTTTTTTGCCTCATGGTCATTTTCAACCTCGGTTTTCTGTATTTCAGCAAACGTTAAACAAATGACAAATATTCCTCTTTTTACTGTTGGCTGGTGTTCATCAATCCGCTGCTGAAAAATAGGGACACCTGGGACAGTTCTTGTATAAAACTTCGACAAATCATTAGTTTTGTATAAATCTGCTGGGACAGGGGACACAGGCTCAAAACTGGGACTGTCCCAGGTAAATCACCCTGCGCCACTGAAGTATTCATTATATTTGTGTACTTTTTAACATGTTGTAAGTGACATCCACCCACGGCTTCCAGTTCACTGCTTTATCTTTAATTAAATATTTATTCATTTTAACATGACTCAGCAAAAACCCACAGAGATGAACTTGGACAGGAAGTAGTGACGCTAACAGTGAGCTTGCTGAGTGCTAATGTGTGCAGAGCCTATTACCGTATTTTTCTGATTATTTTGGACGGATTATAAAGCGCAGTGTCAATAATGTTGAATTCTCTCGTCTATTTTCATACATAAGGTGCAGTGGATTATAAGGAGCATTAAACGAAACAAACGGACGACACTTGAGACTGATCCTTTAGCCCAAACATCCATGATTCATTGACAGATCGTGGTGTAATTCGCCCAGCGTTGCCTCGTTGTCTTGGTGAATGTGGATTATGAATGTGAATGTGGGTGGATCATTTAAGTTTTTTGTTTTATTTTCTACGAGGTCGACTCAAATATACATTGAGTAATAATGTTTAGTTTAATAAAGCTTAATTCAGCTTTGCGCACATTTGTTTACATTTTACAGAAACAAAACTGTGCTGAATAAGTGCTGAAAAAACAGCTCGCTCTATGTGCGTTGACGCAGTCAGCTTCTGTCGGACTGTCCCTGCATTCCATTATCCTTTCGAACTGGTTTTCCGAGGAAGTTGCCTCACACATGTGACATGCCCCTTTTCCTGGGATGGCGAGACATGGACCTCGGTGGCGGAAAAAGTAGACAGGGCAAGGATTCCGAGTCAGAATCTAAGACGTTTACGCCCACTATGACCTGTAAATATGAAGTGTTTTCATTGTGTCTGGACTAGAGGTGCGCGGATGTGCTACTTTTTCATCTGCAACCACATCGCAAAACTCATCATCCGCCCGCTGTCCATTTGCAACCACAGTTTTTGACCAGTTTTCAAAACCGCACCCGCCGCCATCCGCTCAGTCTCCTCCCAGTTGCTCCGAGTTCAGAGTTTTTTATTTGAGTAGTGAAACCGCCACCCGCACGAATTTTATTAAAATATTATTTTTCGTCACGTCATCCGCCCAACCTGCGGAGTACGCGGCTGTAACCGCCATCCGCGCATCTCTAGTCTGGACACTTTGTGGTTTAAATGACAGTTTCAGTCACTTTGGACTTGACCACGTCCATATCACTGCCTGTGGGTTTGGTAGTTGGTGTTGTAGTGAGGCCAATATTGAACAATTACTTGATTTAATGGGTGTTAACGTCCCCAAGGTTGTAACGGAAGAGAAATCAAAATATAAAATGAAGTGCAAATTTTAAATACTAAATTAATCAAAGTAGTAGCAAGGGAATAGTCATAATCATAATCCACGTAGTTCAACGCTTCAGACTTGGACGTGATGTCAATCCGAGGTCCAAGTGGGAGTCGGAAGATAATCGAACGCACGGTTACACCACGGGGCTCCTGACTACGGTAGCTGTAATGCTCCGACAGTCCATCAAGCGGTGCGGCTTCATAGTTTACCAAAGTCGTACTAAAACATTTTGACAGATTTTTGAGCGCCATGTACGTCTTATAAAAAAAATACTGTAACCAAATGATTCTAGTGAAGGTGTATGAAGTTTAAAAACACAGAGCACTTCCTGTATTACCACATGACATCACAAGGTGGAACAGATTGTTGTAAGAACTACGAAACATACAGGGTTTGTGTGTTGAACATGTGTGAATGAAACAAAACATAATCCAGGTCTGTTTTTGAAGAGCATCTGAACACTTCATCCCAACACTGACTTTGAAACAGTTTTCTTCATGCCTGCGTCACAAAACTCTCTCAGTATTTGCTCTTCTCCTCGACTTTGTCCTCGTTTGAGCTCGCGAGAAAACAAAAGCAGCCCACTCTTCACGCTGTATTTGCTTCGTCCTTGGTGCTCGATACAAAAGAGAAAAAAACTGTGCGATGAGAGAGAAAAACTGTTGAAAGGATGCCATTAGCTTTAGCGGGATTGATTGACACGGGCACTTTCAATTTCAAAGGTCTCTGGTCTCCATTACCGACACACCTGCCTGCAAACCAACACGAGGAGAGGCAGAGTGTTTTTGTTCAGTCGATGGGTTTTTCACGGGGAAGCTGCAAAAATATAGATGTGATGAGTCGATACAGACGTTTTGGACAAAGTGCACCGTGTGAATGACGGGATTATAAAACGTGAACCATTTATTTGTGTCTTAAAAACGTGAAATTTGTTAGTTCATTAATCCGTGTGTCATTCGTTCATTCGTTTTTCAATATAAAATCAAAAATAAGAAAATGAAAAAACTGTTTTCTTCATCATTTGTCTCCAAAACCAAAATGGAAAAAAACGGATAACGGCCGTTTCCCGTTTACGTGACTCCCGTGACTGCGATGCCGGACTTTTGCGCTGCATACGGACTGAACCAGGACTGGGTCCAGGTCCATGACAAGACCAGGATCAGACTGGGACCAGAGCGGGACTGAGACTGGGACCAGAACGGGACTGAAATCGAGACCTGACCGGGATTAGACTGGCACCAGACTGGGACCAGAGCGGGACTGAGACTGAGACCAGACCGGGACCAGAGCAGGACTGAGACCGGGACCAGATCAGGACCAGAGCGGGACTGAGACCGAGACCAGACCAGGACCAAACTGGGACCAGAGAAGGACTGAGACTGGGACCAGAGCGGGACTGAGACCGAAACCAGACTGGGACCAGAGCGGGACTGAGACCGAGACCAGACTGGGACCAGAGCGGGACTGAGACCGGGACCAGAGCGGGACTGAGACCGAGACCAGACCGGGAACAGACTGGGACCAGAGCGGGACTGTGACCGGGACCAGAGCGGGACTGAGACCGAGACCAGACCGGGACCAGACTGGGACCAGACCAGGACTGAGAGCAGAACTGAGACCGGGACCAGACCGAGACCAGACCAGGACCAGGCCGGGACCAAATCGGGACCAGAGTGGGACTGAGACCCAGACCGGGACCAGACCGAGACTGAGACCAGAGCAGGGCTTAGACCGGGACCAGACCAGGACCAGAGCGGGACTGTACTGGAGGAAGAATATTTTGCCGAAATACATGGAAAGAAATCACGTACAGGCTTAACCATAATTATAATAAACAACATTAGAATTAAAAAGTTGCTTAAGTATATAAAAAAAAAATAACTTCTAGAAAATATGCAGAAGGAGGATGAGTTGATGAACAAGAAAAAGAATGAAAATTTAACAGTAAATCTGTTAAACTGTGTCAAACAAACAAAACAAAACAAAAAAAAGTAGGAAAGTATGTAGGCAATTACTGCAAAAGAACTAACGGTCAGTGAATGGCTTCTTTCTACTCTTTTTTGAGCATAATTGTACTACTGCACACAATATGTACAATAATATTTCATGTTGTTCAAAGAAATTAACCAGCCTTTTTTGTTTGTTTGTTTGTTTGTGTCTCGTTTGTTTACAGACTTGTGGGGACCTTCAGCATGGTTCTGCAGAAAGTGGCCCACGAGGGACATCTGCAGCTCACAGACACACTGATAGACGACAACAATACTTCTATAAAGGTGAGTTATGGGCTTATGTAACGTAATTAAAGGTTGTATGGAGAATTTTTTTTTGTTTCAAATTGTCAATGATAGTTTATAGAGGTGCAGTAGCCTTGTAATTATGATGACCAAAAAAAAGAGAATAAAAATTCATCAACTCTGGACGTGGTGGGGCTAAACATTTGCCAATAGATAACGACACTGCCTCGTTATCTGTGAGCTGACAGGCTGTCAATCAGTCTCCCTATGTTTCTAGTGTAATTGACTTGCCTGCGCGCCGCCGGTACGTGGTTTACGTACGTCTGTCACGCAGTCCACAGACGCAAGCCGCACAGACGCTGTTTACTCCACCAACGCAACAGTTCTTAGCGGCTTTTTTTGACCTATATCTTCCTCGCAGTTCGCACAAAGTTTGTTGCAATGGCGACAAGAATCCAAGTCCGTTTTTGAGGTCGCTGAAAGAAGAAGACAAGGGGAAAAGCAGCGAAGCCAAACTAAGGTGATTCTTATAGATTCATTCCAGCGATGGCGCGACTGAAGCAGACGCAGGGTCTAAAGACTGACGCACTGGTCCACAAATTACTTCTGGACAGGAAACTTCTGCTTATTATGAAAACGTACTTTATTTCCAAGAGCTACACAAACGTTTTTCAGGACACGAAAGCGATATCCTATGTCTGAAAACGTAATTTTCAAGGCAAAGAAAGAGTCCGCTTGCTGCTGCGTGTTGTAGCTAGTTCATTCGCACTGAATCTCTGCGCAACCTTCTCTGTACCCCTTTCCTGCTCCTGTCCCTGCTCCCTGCTCCGCTCTTCTCCCTGCTCCTCACTTCTCGTCCGCGAACGAAATGTCCGCACACCCCCTCCCCCGCTCCTCACTTCTCCGTCTTGCCTAACCAACACTGTAGTTAGTTGTTTACAAGTCATGTGCAGCGCACCGGCTGTAAACAAACCTGTTTCTGGCGTAAGGAGGAGGAGGGAGGGTCTCAGGTCTCATCCAAACACGTCCTTGGAGATGTTTGTGAAAGTTTATAGTAAAGAGAGTTTATTGTAAAGCCCCATAACGTTTACAGATTGACTGTTTAAATGTCAGATATTGTAGCTACGTAGCAACTAAATTACTCATGTCAAGGTAATAAACTCACAAAAATCATTCATTTAACTTTGGTTTGTGATTTATTTTCTACAATCCACATTTCTAAGCAGTCAGTTAAAGGGATAGTTCAGGTTTTTTGACATGAATCTGTGTGTCATCCCCGTCAGCAGTGTGGTGCATCCACACTGACTTTACCTCCGAAAGCGTCCGGTGAGCCGAGATCCTGGCCGGTTTTGGTGCTGAGGAAAGTAGTTCGGCAAGTTGGCTGGGGACAGTCTAATAAAGCGTTTTTCTTCTCAAAACAAAATGTGTTAAAAAGAGTGATACATTTGCACCACAAAACCTCCGTCCTCTAAAAAGTCAGACCTCATAATCACTTGGTGCTATTTTCTCTCCGTACGTATCACTGCGCGCGGCCGCCAGGTGACAGCCTGCGCCTGTTTTACTTTGTTAACTGCTCGGAATGTGAGCAACAACATGTCTGAATACGACACAGATGATGAAGAAATTGATTTTAGCACAGAGCCAATGGGAGATCTTTTTGGACCCGAATATACGTCCGTTACAGGAAAACGGTGAAATTTGTGCGGAGATTCAGACATATTTTTGTTGTTACAGCCCGGAAAATCACAAGTTCACACCATTTTTTAGATATATAGTTATGTATCTTATACAAGCTTATATACCTGTCACGCCAGCTCTGACATTAGGTCTCTCGTGTCACGGCGGACACCGGTCTGAACAAGTAAACACTGCTGAACAACTGAAGAAAATGTCACCTGGCGGCCGCGAGCAGTGATACGTACGGAGAGAAAATAGCACCAAGCGATTATGAGGGCTGACTTTTTAGAGGACGGAGGTTTTGTGGTGCAAATGTATCACTCTTTTTAACACATTTTGTTTTGAGGAGAAAAACGCTTTATTAGACTGTCCCCAGCCAACTTGCAGAACTACTTTCCTCAGCACCAAAACCGGCCAGGATCTGGGCTCACCGGACGCTTTCGCAGGTAAAGTCAGTGTGGATGCACCACACTGCTGACGGGGATGACACACAGATTCATGTCAAAAAACCTGAACTATCCCTTTAACATTAAACATATGAAGAGTGTTATGCAAAAGACATTTGGGATTGTTTCTCTTCAGTTTACTCTCTGACACGTTTAGAGCAGAAGTAGGACCCAAAAATGCAAGACTGCATTTCTGAAGTAGTTAAATAAAACAAAGATTGACCAAACACAAAAATCCAAACAAACGTGAAACTGATAATGACAAAAGAACCAACAAAAGGCAAAGGGAGAATACAGGGCACACGAACGAATGAGACACACGTGAGACATTTTTTTTTTTTTTTTGTTAAGGACAATGGTCTCAAAGTCTCAAAAGCTCAATAAAATGGGTTGAACCTGCCGTACTTTTTGTTGTTTGTGTTTTTTTTTGTTAACTGTGACCCTAAGGACCAATAATTGAAGGTTCTGCTCTTCTGGAAATATCGCAAAAAAAAAAAAAAAACAAAACTGTGGCCATTTTAGTGTATGTGACCTTAATTTTTTGATAGAAAATTTAGAAAAATGAAAATTGTGGTAATTCCTGAAACACATTTCTAAATAATCTTCATCTTTACCTCATTGGCAATCGACTCTTCCTATGTGATGATTTCGGAACGTTGAGAGTCGCCTGACATTCTAACGGGCCTGTTGACGGCCGACTAGTAATGAAATCATCACAGATCTGTTGATTTTAGTTGGATTTTTATATTTTTTTCTGTGAAATGAGATTACTGTTTGGAGAAAATAATGGCATATTTACTTATGTCATAACTTGGGTGAATAGTTGATTGCCAATGAGGTAAAGATGAAAATATTGGGGGAAAAAAGTGAAAAAACGCTGTATTTTTTTTGCATTAAATTGAGCCAAAATCATGTAGAAATGTGTTTCAGGAATTATTTTTTTTACTGAATGTTGTCACCACATGTGTTCTTTGCATCTGGAATAAATTTATTGACAGTCTACCCAGCCCACTGAGGATTTCAGGAAATTTTTATTTTTCAAAATTTTCTATAAAAAAATGAAAGGTCACATACAATAAAATTTTTTTTTTTTTTTTTTTGCAATATTTCTGGAAGAGCAGAACCTTTAATTATTGGTCACATTTAACAAAAAAAAAAAAAAAAAAAACACAAATAAAATGTTTGGCAAATCATGTCAGGTTCAACCCATTTTTGAGACTTTTTCTCCCCGACTAATAGTACATTTTATAAACAAAACAGATTCCAGATTCTAGTGCGCACATAATCGCAACGTAAAGCAAACCCTAACCTTAATACATGAAATATATGAACACAAGAACAATAAAAACTGTATTATAGCATAAAAAGTAAAACAGATAAAACTTTTTTAGTGTTTAGAGTAAAAGTGTTGCCGGATCCAAGTGCCATAAAATTCTCAGTTTTTATGTCCTTATGTCCTGCTCTCTAATCTCGACCACATCTGCCTAATTAACTCAAGATTTAAAAGGTCTTTTTATATTACGTAAAACTCAGTGTCAATGTAATAATGCTGGTTCTTCATTAAAAATATTTCAGGAGTTGTTTTGTTTCCAGTGGTGGAAGAAATACTCAGTTTTGTTATGTAAAAGTACAGATAAAGAACCAAAAAAAACCCAAAATACTCAAGTAAAAGTAAAAGTAACACATGAAAAATCAACTTAAGTAAATATATTAAAGTATCTGTTTAAAAACACTCAGCCTTTTCAGCAGGTCTCACAAAATAAGAATAATAAACAATAAATGGCTTTTTGTCAACATTCACACACACATGGCGGCTCTTTTCTAGACTATTTTTTCAGGGACTCGCGGTGTCTGAAGGAGACGCAGTCCACACGGCTCGGTTTAGTCCTGGTTTAATCTTGGTTTAGTCCTGGTTTAATCTTGGTTTAGTCCTGGTTTAGTGCTGTGAAATCCTGGTTTAGACCTGGTTTTAAACCTGATTTTAGTCCTGGTTTAGACCTGGTTTAGACCTGATTTTAGTCCTGGTTTAGACCTGGTTTAGACCTGATTTTAGTCCTGGTTTAGACCTAGTTTACGCCTGGTTTTAGTCTTGATTTTAGTCCTGGTTTTAGTCTTGATTTTAGTCCTGGTTTTAGTCCTGGTGTAGTCCTGGTTTTAGTCCTGGTTTAGACCTGGTTTAGACCTGGTTTTAGTCCTGGTTTAGACCTGGTTTACTCCTGGTTTAGACCTGATTTTAGTCCTGGTTTAGACCTAGTTTATGCCTGGTTTTGGTCTTGATTTTAGTCCTGGTTTTAGTCTTGAGTTTAGTCCTGTTTTTAGTCCTGGTGTAGTCCTGGTTTTAGTCCTGGTTTAGACCTGGTTTTAGTCCTGGTTTTAGTCCTGGTTTAGACCTGGTTTTCTCCTGGTTTAGACCTGGTTTTAGTCCTGGTTTAGACCTGGTTTAGACCTGGTTTAGTCCTGGTTTAGACCTGATTTTAGTCCTGGTTTAGACCTAGTTTATGCCCGGTTTTGGTCTTGATTTTAGTCCTGGTTTTAGTCTTGAGTTTAGTCCTGTTTTTTAGTCCTGGTGTAGTCCTGGTTTTAGTCCTGGTTTAGACCTGGTTTAGTCCTGGTTTAGACCTGGTTTAGACCTGATTTTAGTCCTGGTTTAGTCCTGATTAAGTCTTGGTTTAGAGCTGGTTTAGACCTGGTTTTAGTTCTGGTTTAGTCCTGATTAAGTCTTGGTTTAGAGCTGGTTTAGACCTGGTTTTAGTTCTGGTTTAGTCTTGGCTCAGACCTGGTTTAGTCCTGGTTTAGACCTGGTTTAGTTCTGGTTTAGACCTGGTTTAGACCTGGTTTTAGTTCTGGTTTAGACCTGGTTTAGACCTGGTTTTAGTTCTGGTTTAGACCTGGTTTTAGTTCTGGTTTAGACCTGGT